GGGGTGGCAGAGGTGGAGCGGCTGGTGAGGTGGATGAGTCTGGCAGCTGAGTTCAGGATGGTCTGAAGCGGGGAGAGTTTGCACTGGGGTAGGCCGGTGAGGAGGGAGTTGCAGTAGTCAAGGCGTGAGATAATCAGGGAGTGTACGAGTAGTTTAGTGGTGTCTGGGGTAAGGAAGGAGCGTATCTTGGCGAAAGGTGGAGCCTGCATGTGTTTGTAAGTGATTTGATATGAGGTTGAAAGGAAAGGTTTGAGTCCAGAATGACGCCAAGGACCTTGGCTTGCTGGGCGGGATTGATGGTGGTGTTGTTGGTAGTGATAGAAAGGATGGGGGGGGGGGGGGGGCGCGGGCTGGGGGAAAGACGAGAAGCTCGGTTTTGGAGAGGTTGAGCTTGAGGAAATGGAGCGACATCAAGTCGGAGATGTCGTTTAGGAGGTGAGTGATGCGGGCGGAGAATGTGGGGTGAGGTGAGGATAGGTGGATAGGTAGATTTGAGTATCATCAGCGTAGAGGTGGTAATTGAAGCCGTGGGAGTGTATGAGTTTGCCAAGGGAGGAGGTGTAGATGGAGAAGAGAAGGGGTCCAAGGACAGAGCCCTGGGGGACCCCAACAGAGAGGGGGAGGGAAGAGGAGGTGGCATCGTTGTAGGAAACGCTGAAGGAGCGTTGGGATAGATAGGACGAGAACCAAGAGAGAGCGGTGTCTCTGATGCCAAGGGAGAGTAGTTTATTAAGGAGGAGGGGGTGGTGGTCGACTGTGTCAAAGGCCGCGGAGAGGTCTAGGAGGAGGAGGACAGAGTAGTCGCCTTTGGCTTTGGCGGTTAGTAGATCGTTGGTGATTTTGAGGAGGGCAGTTTCGGTGGAGTGTAGGGGACGGAAGCCGGACTGTAGTGGGTCAAGGAGGTTGCTGTCGGTTAGGTGGGCGCTTAGGCGATCGAAGACCAAGCGCTCAAGGAGCTTGGAAGTGAGTGGCAGCAGGGAAATTGGTCTGAGGTTGTTGAGGTCAGTGGGGTCAGGGAGGGCTTTTTGAGTATGGGGGTGATGTGCGCATGTTTTAGGGGGGAGGGGAAGACGCCAGTAGAGAGGGAGAGATTGAAGATGTGGGTAAGGGAGCGGATGAGGGAAGAGGGGGGTGACCGGAGGAGTTGAGAGGGGATAGGGTCCAGGGGGCAGGTAGTGAGGCGGGCTTCTGAGAAGACTCTGGTGACTTCCTCAGTGGTAGTAGGGCTGAAGGAGTGCAGTGATGGGGGGGTTACGGTAGGCAGGGCCTTGGGTGTGGTGGGGGGGGCAGTGCCGTTGCGAGGTCAGAGGAGGGGAGAGATGAGGGGGTGATGGAAGGGGGGGGAGGTAGATTGCAAGTTGACTATGTCCTTGCGAATTGCGTCAATCTTGTTGTGGAGATGAGTGGCAATCTCGTGGGCGGTAAGTGAGGTACTCAGTGGAGGAGGGGGGGGGAGAGAGCAGGGAGTTGAAGGTGGAGAAGAGTCGTCGAGGGCAGGTGGAGAGGGTGTTGATCAGGTTAACGAAGTAGGCCTGCTTGGCGGCGTGGAGGGAGGAGGTGTAGGTGAGGAAGGCAGATTTGTATTGGGAGAATGCATGAGGGGACCTGGTTTTGCGCCATAGTCTCTCCAGCGCACGACTGCGACGTTTGAGGCATTTAGTATGGTCGTTCTGCCATGGTTGGAGCGGTCTGGGTTTGATGTTGCGTGTGGTTAGGGGTGCCAGAGAGTCTAGGGTAGCTGATAGTGAGTCGTTGTATGCGGTGGTGGCTAGGTCAGGACATGACAGTGGAAGGATGCTGTCGTGTAAGCGGTCGGCAGCCGAGTGGAGGGGGGCCGGGTGCAGGTTGCGGAGGTTGCGGCTGGTGATGGTTTGGCGCACTGGGGGGGGGAAGTTAGGGGAAGGGGAGATGGAGAACATGAGGAGGTGGTGGTCGGAGAGAGGGAAGGGGGTGTGTTAGTGAAGTGGTTAAGGGTACAGAGGTGGGAGGAGACGAGGTCCAGGGTGTTCCCATTGATGTGGGTGGAGGATTGAGTGTATTGTGTGAGCGCGAAGGAGGAGGTTAGGTGGAGGAGTTGGGAGGTAGCTGGGGTGTTGTCGTTGATGGGGATGTTGAAGTCCCCGAGGATTGATGGTCGGTAGCTCAGAGGAGAGGAAGAAGGGAAACCAGGCGGCGAAGTCATCCAGGAAGCGGGCTATGGATCCGGGGGGCCTGTAGATCACTGCGATCCTTAGGGGGGTGGGTGAGAAAGAGCCGGATGCAGTGAGCCTCGAAGGAGGAGAAGGTTAGGGAGGGGGGGTTAGGGAGGACCTGGAAGGTGCTCAGCGGTGATAGGAGCAGGCCGACACCACCACCTTTGTGACCGCTCAGTCTTGGTGAATGGGAGCAGACGAGACCTCCATGGGAGAGTGCCGCAGGGGAGGTAGTGTCAGTGGCCTGTACCCAGGTTTCGGTGATGGCTAGGAGGTTGAGGGAGCGGGAGATAAAGAGGTCATGGATGGCAGTTAGTTTGTTGCAAACCGAACGGGCGTTCAGAAGTGCAACCGAGAGAGGGGGGATGGATGCGGGGAGGAGGTGCACAGGTATGAGGTTGAGGGGGTTGGGGCGGCTGGCGGGGGGGGGGGGTCCCTGGAGGGGGGGGTCCTGGAGGGGGGGAGAGGTGGTGAGGGGCCAGGGTTCGGGGAGATGTCCCCAGCGGATAGGAGAAGGGTGAGGAGGGTGGCATGGGAATGGGAGGTGTAGGAGCGTGTGGGTCTGGTAGTGGTGGCACGTGGGTCGACCGGGGAGTGGAGTACCAGGAGGAGGTGGTGAGTGCCGTAGTGGGGAGAGGGCAGAAGTGAAGGGGCAATGTAGAGCTGTTTTGGGGGGGTGGGGGGTAGAGGGAGGTGATTTTTGGGATGGAGGAGAGGAAAACGAGGAGGAGAAGTGCAGGTGGCATGCTGGGGTGAGTGCAGTGCTGTTCGGATCAGGGGAGGTGAAGGGATACGGGTCAGGGCGAAGTGATGTGGAGAGTCTGTATCACCGTGGAGGAGTCCACTAGAGTCCTTCTGTAGCTGCAATCTGTGGGTGCAGTATGCTGGCGTCCGAGGGGTCTTCAGTGGGTCCGGTGGATCGGCGAGTGGAGGGGTCATAGGGTGCGATGTCTGGGGGGTGTTGGTAGGCACGGCGTCTGGTGATGCTGGCGGCTCGGTGACTGGAGATTCGCTGGGTGGTCCGGGAGATTCGCTGGGCGACGTCTTGATTCGCTGGGTGGTCCGGGTGTTGGGTGTCCAGAGGTGGTAGCTGGGTGCCCGGTAGCTGGTTGCTGGGTGTCCAGGGGTGGTAGCTGGGTGTCCAGGGGTCCAGGGGTGGTAGCAGGGTGCCCGGTAGCTGGGTGTCCAGGGGTGGTAGCTGGGTGTCCGGTAGCTGGGTGTCCAGGGTGGTAGCTGGGTGCCCGGTAGCTGGGTGCAGGGTGTCCAGGGGTGGGCCCAGAACCGATGTATGGGTTGGGCAGCGGAGCAGCAGCGATCAGTGGGCCTGAGCTGGTTCCTGGTGGTCAGGGATGGACACAGGGCTAGTGGGGAGGGCCCTGCGGAGGCTGGCAGGTCTGTGGGGATCGGTGGGTGGCAGCTTACCCGTTCTGGTGGTGCTGCCGTGCAGGTATCCTGGGGTGGTCCTGGGCTGCTGTCAGCTTGGTGGTCCTTGCTTGCTGTTCCTGGTGGTCCAGGGTAGTCAACGAGGACCCAGGGCTGATGGGGAGGGCCCTGGGCAGGCAGGCAGGTCGGTGGTGGTACCCGTGGGCAGAGCGGAGACGGTCCGGGCGGATGTCCGGCGATGCGGTCCGGTCGCGGGTCGGCCGCGGCAAAAATTGGGGCCCATTCTGTTATCAGTTGGAGGTTTGGTTTTGTTATATTGTGCGTGTTATATTTGTGTATAACCTTTAATAAATTATATTGTTACACCATACTTGAGCCTGCGTTTCCCTGTGTCAGTTCACACATCTCTGGTCTTACCGGGAGCCCTGACATTACACCAAGGCCATTCCTGACCAGAAGTGGCTGCACAGGGAAGCCATCTTGGCTTGTTGTTGGGAAGGATGCATCCTGAGGAGGTGGTATACTTGTATTTGCTCGTCTTAGATGACAGAGAATATGCCTATCAGACTCTGCAGGAGTATACCAGGGATCAGCTGCTAGAGTGCATACGGGTCGCTCATTCCCTAGTAGATCAGGGCACAGAGTTCTCTGAGGTGCAACCATTGATTCATGCTTGTGTTGAGTTGGCTTCATCTAGTACCCCTGAAAGCAGGGATGACTTTCTTCCACCATTCAGTGTGGATCAAATAGAATCACTGGTATGGTTGTTGGAGGATGATCCGTATTGCTTCTGGGAACATTATTCAGCATGTTCACCACATGTGCTAGTGGAGTGTATAAACGCAGTGCATTCTTTGGTCAGACAGGCTATGTGTAAACTGAGTTTTGTTCAACCAATACTACAGTCCTGGTCAGACTTGTTACACCCAGCCTCAGTCAGCTTGAAACAATCCCGTCCTGCTTCTAATCATTCCTCTGCTCAAAGCTCTATTCCTGCATTCCCGACAGCACCCCCAGTTACAGCCCAATATACCCTGCTACCTACCACATGTCAGTACCCTGTTCCCACTCGCTGCACCTATCCTTCCTCCTTTAAACCCTGTAAAAAATGCCGCTGTAACAACTATTCCCTCCTCTGTTCCACCTTCCAGCTTTTCTCTGTCCCCAGCTACTCCATCGATCTACAGACCTGCATTTACTTGCAGTGCCCCAGTAACTAAACCCAAGAAGAAGCGAAAATTCTTTCCAACCAGCATCCAAACCAGTCAGCCTGCCGTCTGTGAACCCGCCTTCCATTGTTCAGCCTGATGCCTGATGACCCAGTGTACGCTACCCAGCCTGATGATCCTACACAGCCTGATGATCCTACCCAGCCTGATGATCTGGTGCTCGCTACCCAGCCTGATAGCCCGATCCGGCCTGATGACCCGATCCAGCCTGATGATCCTGTCCAGCTTGATGATCTGGTGCCTGCTCCCCAGCCTGATGGCCCGATCCAGCCTGATGACCTGATCCAGCCAGATGACTCGGTGCCCACTGTCGAGCTTGGTGACTCGGTGCCCGCTGTCGAGCTTGGTGACTCGGTGCCCGCTGTCTTGCCAGATGACTCGGTGCCCACTGTCGTGCCAGATGACTCGGTGCCCACTGTCGTGCCAGATGACTCGGTGCCTGCTGTCGAGCTTGGTGACTCGGTGCCTGCTGTCGAGCTTGGTGACTCGGTGCCTGCTGTCGTGCCAGATGACTCGGTGCCCGCTGTCGTGCCAGATGACTCGGTGCCCGCTGTCGTGCCAGATGACTCGGTGCCCGCTGTCGTGCCAGATGACCCGTGCCCGCTGTCGTGCCAGATGACCCGGTGCCCGCTGTCGTGCCAGATGACCCGGTGCCCGCTGTCGTGCCAGATGACCCGGTGCCCGCTGTCGTGCCTGGTGACTCGGTACTCGCTGTCGAGCTTGGTGACTCGGTGCCCGCTGTCGAGCTTGGTGACCGATGCCCGCTGTCGAGCTTGGTGACTCGGTGCCCGCTGTCGAGCTTGGTGACTCGGTGCCCGCTGTCGAGCTTGGTGACTCGGTGCCCGCTGTCGTGCCAGATGACTCTGTGCCCGCTGTCGTGCCAGGTGACTCGGTGCCCGCTGTTGAGCTTGGTGACTCTGTGCCCGCTGTCGTGCCAGATGACCCGGTGCCCGCTGTCGTGCCAGGTGACCCGGTGCCCGCTGTCGTGCCAGGTGACCCGGTGCCCGCTGTCGTGCCAGGTGACCCGGTGCCCGCTGTCGTGCCAGGTGACCCGGTGCCCGCTGTCGAGCTTGGTGACCCGGTGCCCGCTGTTCTGCCCGATGACTCTGTGCCCGCTGCCTCGCCCGATGGCCCGGTACCCGCTGCCGTGCCCGGTGCCCGCTGCCCAGCCTGATGTGCCTCTGTCCACTGCCCAGCCTGATGTGCCTCTGTCCGCTGCCCAGCCTGATGTGCCAGCCCCTGATATCCAGCCAGTTACCTGACCCAGGCGGTGGAACATTTTGCCAACTAAGGACTGTTTGGAGCGTCCTGAGGCCGCTCCTTGAGGGGGGGGGGTACTGTCAGGAATGGACTTGCCAATGGTGGTGGGACTCATCTGCCGTGTGGGCTGCAGTACCAGTGCTGGCCAGCGGGTGCTCTCAGGAACCAGAAGCTCACTCCTGCAGTCATCCATCACCTGAGGCTGATTGCAGGAGGTGTATTTAAGGAATGGCCAGACCTGCAGTCAGTGCCTTGGTGTATGTTTCCCATGAGCCCCTGTACCTGCATCTTGTCTGCTTCCTGCCTGATTCTGCTTTGATCCTGACTCTGAATGAACTCCGCCTGTCCTGACCCCGGCTATTCCTGACCACTCTCCAGCCTGCTCCTTTGGTACCTTGTCTGCCTGATTGTTCCTGACCTGGCCCGTCTGACTATGCTCTCTGCCTGCTCCTATGTGTCTTGTCTGCCCGATGGTTCCTGACCCGGGCCTGCCTGACCACTCCACCTCACCAGCCCTGACTGCTCTTGTCTGTGTACATTCCGTTATCAGTTGGAGGTTTGGTTTTGTTATATTGTGCGTGTTATATTTGTGTATAACCTTTAATAAATTATATTGTTACACCATTCTTGAGCCTGCGTTTCCCTGTGTCAGTTCACACATCTCTGGTCTTACTGGGAGCCCTGACAGGAACGCACCGCTCAGCGTGCGTTCCACTCACCGGAAATGACGTGGGACGTCGGGACAGCCAACCGGAAGTGCGTTGATGTGTTTCGCCCCACCCACAGGGCGTTCTCAAGACGCACCCCTCCTGTCATAGGCCGCTTAAATAGCAATGGGAAGTCCCTCCCCTTCATCACCATGGGGATTAACCACAATGTACACAGTACATCTCTGTCATCCTTTGTTCACACCCCGTGAGGTCCCTTCACATATGGGATACATTTAAGTCCCTCAGCTTTCCATACAAATAACAGAAAACCCCATAAAAGGAATTCCAATCCAATATTAAACACCTAAACACGTCAATATCCATGAATTAGCTCACATAAAATTAAAAAAATAAGTAATTAAGAACCCTTATACACATATATGCATAACCCTCATATATATCCATATAAAAAGAAAAAAAAATCAAATAAGTTTAAAATTAAATGAGTATAATTCCAAAACCATATGTAGGTGCATAAACTCCGTCAAAAAATATAATAAAATAAATTTAATAAAAATAAAAAATGTCAAATGTAAGAGTGTATACACCCACATACACAAAAACAGCACTCGGATAATACTACCAATTAGATAAAAAACAGTTGATGTCAATATCTGCATTTAACCCCTTGGGGTACAATGTCCCCATCTGGTATATCCAATTTGTTTCATTTTGAGATACACTTTTGACCATATCACCCGCTCTCCAAGGGACCTCAATCCTGTCTATCCCACAGAATTTCAACGATGTTGGATCCCTTGTATGATGGACTCTAAAATGGTATGACAAACTGTGATGTTTGAATCCCTTCTTGATGTTCCTAATATGTTTTCCCAGTCTAACAGAAAGCTTTGTTGTAGTCCTCCCTATGTACTTGAGTTTGCGAGAGCACTCCAGCAAATTGGTGACATATGAGCTGTCACATGATATAAATTTCTGGATTTTAAAAGATGCGCCATTAGAACATGATTGGAAACAATCATAATATCTTTTGTCATCACCTTTTAGATGTTTACACGCTATACACCTCCCTACATTTAAAGAAGCCAACCCTATCAAGGAAGGTTACCAACTTCCTAGGTACATCTGGAACATTTTTTACAAGTCGCGCTCTCAAAGTTGGTGGCTTCCTGTAGATGAACATAGGCTTCACAGGTAGTACTTTATTCAGGACCTCATCCCTTTTCAAAATTGGCCAGTATTTTTTAATTATGTTCTCAAACAATTTATAATGCTTCAAATATCCAGTGATGAAAGCCAAATCACCTACCTTTTTCCTATTCTCCTTTTTCTTCAGCAGGTCTTCTCTTTTAATATTTTTAACCTGTTCCAGTGAGCAAGCTAGACTTTCCTCTCCATATCCCTTTTCTCTAAATCTTTGTAATAACATGTCTGATCTAAAAAGATGCTTTCATCATCACAATTACGTTTTATTCTGATAAGTTGACTTTTAGGGATGGAATTCAGCCAGTTTCTGTGATGACAACTATGGTTCGGAATGTATCCATTCCTATCTACTTCCTTGAAGTGTGTTTTAGTACAACATTTGTCACCTCGTTTATAAATTGTAAGATCCAAGAAATCTATTGCTTCTTTGCTGATATTCTTAGTAAATGATATATTGAAGGAATTATTCCCCATTTCTTGAATATATTCCTCCAATCCTTCTCTTGTACCTTTCCAGATTATGGTATCATCTATAAACCTTCTGTAGACTAACAATTCAGAATTCATATTCTCAAAAATGGCTTCACTTTCCCACCTACTCATGAACAGATTCGCCACTGACGGTGCATATTTGGCTCCCATAGCCACACCCATTGCTTGCCTATAAAATTTGCTGGAATGCCAAAAATAATTATGTGACATAGCTAAATCTACGCTATTAAGTATAAATTCTTTTTGTGGGATTTCAGTCCTGATTTGATATCTAGAGCCCATTCTACTGCCACTAATGCATCTGCATGTCTAATGTTTGTATAGAGGGATTTCACGTCAACACTTGCCATAACACTGACTCCCTCTACATTAATCCCCCTAAGCAGGTTAATCAGATCACCACTGTCCCTCAGATATGCGGGAAAAATGGGAACCAAAGGTTGCAGAAACTTATCTACGTATTCACCCAATCTTGAAAATAATCAATCTCACTGATGATGGGTCTTCTGGGTGGTTTGTTTAAGTTCTTATGAATTTTTGGTAGTTGGTAGATTACTGGTACTATTGGAGCATTTTGGTACCAAATATCTACTCTCCTTTTGATTACGTAATCCTCTCTTTTCACCTTCTTTGATGTGTTTTAATAGTAACGCCTTATACTTTTTTGTAGGGTTACTCCTTAACACTTCATACGTGCTAGCATCATCCACCAATCTACTTAATTCTGTATAGTAATCTTCCTTATTTAATACTACCAAACCACCCCCCTTATCTGATAGTCTTATTACAATATTTTTGTTTCCTTCCAATTTCTTGATTCCCTTTTTTAAGTCCAGTTTTTTGCTCATCCATGGGATAGACAAACTTTCCAGATCATGTTCCACCATCTTTTTAAATGTTTTTGAGGAACCGATTTGTTCCTCAAATGGGTATGCAGAAAATTGACATTTTCTACTTCTGTCTTACCATTATTGTTCGGATATGAGTCATCAATCTTACTACTATTTTTATTACCCATATATTCAATATTCTTACCACTTTTATTACTCCAAAATTTATTTAAATTTATTTTTCTAATAAACTTATGCAAGTCAATATACCGTATTTGCCAGCGTATAAGACAACTGGTCGTATAAGACGACCCCCTACTTTTCCTGTTAAAATATAGGGTTTGAGCTATACTCGCCGTATAAGACTACCCCTCTTCCAACGCACACCAAATAAAAATGAAAAAACATCAGATTTGATTTCAATATGGTATGGTATTTCAGTATGGTATTCCAATGATGGGGTGCTATTCCTCCCACTGACACCAATGATGGGGCATGATTCCTCCCACTGATACCAATGATGAGGCACTACTCCTCCCACTGACACTAATGGTGCCCCATCAGTAGTGTCAGTGTGTGAGGAATAGTGCCCCATCATTGGTGTCAGTGGATGAAATAGTGCCCCATCATTAGTGTCAGTGGGAGGAATAGTGCCTCATCATTTGTATCAGTGGGAGGAATAGTGCCCCATCATTGGTGTCAGTGGATGAAATCGTGCCCCATCATTAGTGTCAGTGGGAGGAATAGCACCCCATCATTGGTATCAGTGGGAGGAATAGTGCCCCATCATTGGTATCAGTGGGGAGAAAAGTGCCCCATCATTGGTGTCAGTGGGGGAGGAATAGTGCCCCATCATTGGTGTCAGTGGGGGAGGAATAGTGCCCCATCATTGGTGTCAGTGGGGGAGGAGGAATAGTGCCCCATCATTGGTGTCAGTGGGGAGGAGGAATAGTGCCCCATCGTTAGTGTCAGTGGGGAGGAGGAATAGTGCCCCATCGTTAGTGTCAGTGGGGAGGAGGAATAGTGCCCCATCATTGGTGTCAGTGGGGAGGAGGAATAGTGCCCCATCGTTAGTGTCAGTGGGGAGGAGGAATAGTGCCCCATCGTTAGTGTCAGTGGGGAGGAGGAATAGTGCCCCATCGTTAGTGTCAGTGGGGAGGAGGAATAGTGCCCCATCATTGGTGTCAGTGGGGAGGAGGAATAGTGCCCCATCATTGGTGTCAGTGGGGAGGAGGAATAGTGCCCCATCGTTAGTGTCAGTGGGGGAGAGGAGCGGCTGCTCCTTCTTTCACTTCGGCAGCTTGATTTTTGCGGGGCCGTTCGGCTCCGCCTCCTCGCCGGTGATTGGTCGCCTGTGTGCGCTGGCGCCCAATCACCGGTAAGGAGGCGGGGCCGCGCGACCATCGAGGTGCCGAACTGAAAGAAGGAGCAGCCGCGCTTCCTGGACCGGATCATCGTGGGACCGGAGCCAGGTAAGGTACAGCAGCCCCTCTGCCCACCCCTGTACTTAGTGTCCGTTGGAGGACACCGCCCCTGGAAAAAGTGCCGCCCTGACACACCGGCTCGCCGTATACCGGCGTATAAGACGA